TTTATATAGAATTTATATCTAAGTAGTTTTTTCAAAAAAGAATGAGAAAATTACAAAGTGCAAAATCAGACAAAACCAGGAAAGAATTATATGAAAAACTACAGAACATAAGAAATAAATCAGAAATAAAGAAATAAATGATTTACTTTAGATTGAGATAGCACATTACAGTTACAGAGATTATAGGCAAATGTGCTAGTTGCCCACACTATTGTGTTTATGTTTGCTGAGACAGAACTTGAGTCAGTAATGTGATGCTACATTGGCCATTGTTATACCCATGGTATCTGGCATGCAGAAATCCAATTAAAGCTTTTTAAGAACTGTAATATATATAAAATAAAGAAATAATACTTTGAATTTTACCTGATCATTGATCATTAATCACTGATCACATCATATCAATGTTCATAGATTAAAAAAGCCTTGCCCACAAATAAACTTAATCTCCCAAAAAATAAAACCAAAAAGTCACATTTCAAAAACTTCTGGAATGGATTTCTTTTATTTGGCTACAAATAATTAATCTCTAAATCTATCAGTGTTCTTGTTTTCTATTTTAAGATTTTTCCTAGAACACTGATGGATCATAGTCCAGTCTGGATGGAATTGGTTAATGAAAAAGAGGAGAGGAGATCCTGGAGAATGAATGAAAATTTATTTAGACAAGAAAAGAATGTTCAGAAATTAAAGGAGCAATTAAAGGAATATTTTGCTTTAAATATGTATAAGGGAACTTCAATGCCAATGGTTTGGGATGCAGGTAAAGCTTACATGCGGGGGGTCTTGATACAAATGAACAAGGTTTATAGACAGAAGCAGGTGCAGAAACGTAAGGAGTTGGAAGATGAGATTAAACTAAAAGAAAAAGCTTTAATTTTGAATCCTACAGATGAGAAGATTAAAGAATCCATAAAATTGTTTAAATCACAATTTAACATGTTGATGGCTGATCAAACTGCAACTAATTTATTGTACATGAAACATAATACATTTTGTAATGCTAATAAACCAGGGAGATGGTTGGCTTATCAGTTGCGAAAGAAGCAGAGGTTGAGAACTATAGATAAAATAAATTATAATGATAAATTGGTATATCAGAAGGAGCTGATTAAGAAATCTTTTTTAGATTACTATAAAAAATTATATATGGGAACGAAAGTACAGGCTTCAGATATAGATAAATATATACAAGATGCTCATTTCCCTAAATTAACAGAAGATCAGAAACAAGAAATTAATGGTTTGATTACCATCGAGGAAATTGAGATAGTAATTAAAGAATTAAAATTAGGTAAAGTACCGGGTACGGATGGATTGATGTCTATTTATTATAAAACCTTGGTAGAAGACTTGAAACAACCTTTAAGGGAACTTTTTAACAATATATTACAGGGTTCAGAGACTCCCTTGTCATGGGGCAGAGCTTTCATATCTTTGATTCCAAAAGAAGATCAAGATCTCACTTTACCAAAGAATTATAGACCCATATTTCTTTTGAATGTAGATTATAAGATTTTTTCGAAAATTCTAGCTAATAGACTTATGAGGGTGTTAAATCAATTAATACATATGGATCAAACGGGTTTTATAACTGGAAGGTATATGAAGAATAATGTTAGACAAATTATTAATTTAATAGAATACTTGGATAAAAACAACCAAGTTTCTGCAGGATTGATATTTTTAGATGCTGAAAAAGCCTTTGATCAGTTGAATTGGCAATTTATGTTAAGATTAATTGAGAAAATGAATTTTGGAGAAAAAATTTTACAAGCTCTTCGTGTTATTTATCAAAAACAAACGGCACAACTTATAGTTAATGGAGGTTTGTCAGAGGTGTTTTCAATTGAGAAGGGGACTAGACAGGGTTGTCCATTGTCACCATTGCTGTTTGTTTTAACTTTGGAAATTTTGTTGATCAAAATTCAGGAATCACAGAAAATAAAAGGAATAGAAGTTAATAAAAAAGAATATAAATTAAGGGCTTTTGCAGATGATTTGGTTGTTACTTTATCCCAACCAACTCATTCTGTAATGGAGTTGCTACAATTGATATATCAGTATGGACAAGTTTCGGGTTTTAAAATTAATAATAATAATACTAAAATATTGCCTAAAAACATGACCAATTTGGATAAGGAGACTTTAGTTAGGTTGACAGATTTTGAGGTTGTTAATAAGGTAAAATATTTGGGGGTTATTTTATCTGCCTCCAATGCAAAATTGTATAAAAATAATTATGAAAGGCTGTGGGTTAAAATACAAAAGGATTTGGAAAATTGGAAGAAGCTGCAATTATCCCTATTGGGGAGAATTGCAGCGATTAAAATGAATATTTTGCCAAAGTTTCTCTTTTTATTTCAAATGATACCTATTTTAAAGAATGAGGTCAACTTAAATGAATGGCAGAAAGGTATCAATAAATTTATCTGGGCAGGGAAAAAACCAAGAGTAAAACTTAAAATTACATAAGATATTCGTGAGAGAGGTGGACTCAAGGTACCGAACCTGAAATTGTATTATGATGCTGTGGTGTTAACATTAATTAGTGATTGGGTTAATTTAACTAATGTAGATGTACTCCTTTTGGAGGGATGGGATTTACTTTTTGGATGGCATGCCTATTTAATTTTTAATAAAAAGGTTGATAGGGTTTTTAAGTCTCATATTTTAAGAACTTCCTTACTTTGGGTTTGGAAGAAATATTATAGAAGTGACTCTAGAATTCCATTATGGGCTATCCCATAAGGAGAGGAGTTAAGATGGATAGTATCTCTTATATACAATTACTTAAATGGGATGGTAAAAATTGGCAATTAAAATCTATGGAAGATTTAATACAAGAAAACATCACTTATTCATGGTTTCAGTATAGACAATTATTGGAAAGGTGGAAGATAGTTTGCAAGGTGGGTTTGCTCAGAGAGGATGAGAATTTGTTAAAACAAATAAAAGATCAAAGACGAACCCATATCAAAAGAATTTATGGGGTGTTAGTGGAATTGGATTCAGAAGCAGAACTAGTTAAAGATTGTATGGTTAAATGGGCACAAAATTTTGATGAATTGGTTCCATTAGATACTTGGGAGATTATTTGGGTGAGAAATGTCAAATTTACACAAGCCCAAAATTTATGGGAAAACTTTTATAAAATGTTTTATAGATGGTACCTTGATCCACAAAAAATGTCTCGTATGTATTCAAACTTGCAGCCTAAATGTTGGAGATGTGGTTGCTTGGACGCCACATATTATCATATTTGGTGGTTATGCAAAAACATAAAAGCTTTTTGGATTAAGATATGGTGGAATATTCAGAATTTTTAAAAGAAGGATAAAATTTACTCCACAATTGTTTTTGTTGGGTATTGTTTCCGATTGTGACAGTAAAGAAACTATATTAATGTTAAATCTAATTACAGCGGCTAGGTTGTTAGTAGGGCAATGTTGGAAGAAGGAATCTTTGCCTACTTTGCAAGAATGGTTTCTTAAAGTTTCTTATTTAGCGGAAATGGCAAAGATTTCGGCTTTCTTGAAAGATCAATCGCAAGAGAAGTACCTTTTGGTATGGAAAAGATGGATAAATTTTATACAATACAAGTATGATATAAAAAATATTATTTAGCTTTTGAATAATTTATATTTAAAGTTTAAGATATTTTTTAGATATATTTTTTTTCTTTTTCTAAAAATTTTTTTCTCTTTCTTCTTCTTTTTCTTGTTTCTTTTCTTTTTCTCTTTCTGTTTTTTAAATATTGGTGTTAAAGTATTTTATGATTTGTTTAATTATTGTAACCAAATTTGTATATGGTTTATTTGTGTTTAAAAATTTTTCTTTTAAATTTTAATCAAGCCTGTATTCAGGTCTGGGAAGGTTGGGAGGGTTCGGGGAAGGGAACTTTTTTGTAAAATTTTAAAAATTTTCAATAATAATAAAAAAAACTTCTGGAATGGATTTCTTTTATTTGGCTACGAATAATTAATCTCTAAATCTATCAGTGTTCTTGTTTTCTATTTTAATACAATTATTTTGATTTTCTGGTAAAATATTTTGCATGAGATCTGACCATATAAAAATATTTATATATGATGTGGATGGATTGATGCTGTGGAAGAAATAGTAGAAAATATTTGAAGCAATAACAGAATAATGGAATAATAGAGTTGGAAGGAACCTTGTAGGTCTTCTAGTCTAACCCCTTGCACAAGCAGGAGAACCTCTTATCACTGATGCACACAAGCAGATTGGACCCCTAAAATGGGTTTGCATGCAGTTTAATTTGCTCCAGCCCATATTCCATTTCCACTGTCATTTCTCAACTGTTTATAGTGCTCTGCTTCTTTGATTGGGAAAACAGAAGGAGATCACTGACTAAATAAGGCAAGACATATGTGGAAGACAGAAAGTTCAAACAATAGAAGAAAGTAATAAATTTAAAAGACTTTTTCCTTTTCTCAAACAGAAAACAATGCAGAATATATATTTCAAGGGGACTAAATGAGACAGGCTGAATAATTTTGATTTAAAATCTATTGGTCTTTCCAGTCAATGGGCTGGATTCAAAATTTGTCAAAGTTGTGCCACTAAAATTAGTGAGATATTGTAGATTCAGTCCTGTTGATTTCAAGGGGACAAATCTATTTTAAAGTCTATCCTAAAGCCCCTGACTTTAAAAGCAAACAGCAGGCAATTAAGCTGCTCAGCAGTGCTGAAGCAAGCATTTAGTAGTGCTTCTATAACAAGAAGCAATCCACATCCAAAGAGCTATGGCTTCTGTGCAAAAAATGACAAATAGGCATCTTTAGTGATTTATTTGGTAGCTTCCTAGAGACATTTGTGTGGCATGAGTGTAAGTCACAAAGGTAGAGGAGAAAGTGCCTTTTGATAGGAGGATAAGAAATATGGGTCATCTCCTTGAAAATTCTAATGGCTTTATGACTTCATCCCTGTAGGCTTAAGTGTCAGTTACTATCGGTTATCAATTATCAGAGTAAAGATGCCTCCCAAGAAGCAGGTTGGTCTTCAGTAAGGCTCCTGGACTCTGGAGAACCTTCCCTCCTTTTGCAGTCAACTCTCAGAGGGGTAAGTAAGGATGACAGTTTGGGTTAGGTTTAGGGTGAGGGTGAGGGTGTGGGTGAGGATGCAAGAGTGAGGGTGAGGGACAGTCTGAGAGGAAGGGTGAAGTTGAGAGGCAGAGTCAGGATAAGGGGCAGGGGGATAGGGAAGATAATGGTTATGGGGAATGGGAGGAAGAAAAGATAAAAAGGTGAGGGGGCAGGAAAGTGGGAAAGGAAGATGGGGAAGGGGAGGGGCACAAAAAGTTGGAGTAGAATGGATAGGAAAGGGGAGGGAAGGGGAACAGGACAAGGAGGAAGGAGGGGAGGGTGAAGGAGGGGAAGGGACAAAGAAGTAGAGTGTGCCCTGTAGAAGAGGGGAGGAAATGGGGACAGGACAGGCAGAGAATGAAGGGTAGACACAAATAGGGTGGGGGAATTTTAAAGCCTTTATGACTTCATCTAGGCAGATTACTAGAGGTAAGTGAGAGAAAGGGAGAGAGAAGGTAAGGGAAATGGAAAGGAGAAGGACAGAGGCAGGATGGCAAGAGAAAAAGGTAGGAGGAAGGGGTGGGGGACAAAGAGGTGGAGTAGGACAGGAAGGATAAGTTGGGGTGAGGAAGATGGAGAAGAACTGAGGGAAACAAGAGCAATGGGGATGGGGAGGTGGACAGGGAGGGGCAACAGAGGGGGAGAGGGGTGAGCAGAAGAATGGGGAAGGAAATGTGGAGGGGAAGGGATGTAGGGAGAGTGGGAGGGGCAGAGGAACAGGCTTTTATCCCTCCCTTCTCCCTAATCCCTTCTAACCCTTCCTCACCCTGTCCCCCTTACCTCCCTATCCACCTTCCTATCCTGCTCCCTGTTCAGTTATAATTCTACAATAGAATCAGAATTACAATAGAATTAGAATCAGAATAGAATAGAATTAGAATAGAGTTAGAAAGAATTAGAACAGAATATAACAGAATTTAAGATGGGATGGGATGGCATGGAAAAGGAAGGGATGGGGCAGGGCAGGGTGGGGAGGGGCAGGACGGGACAGGACAGGACAAGACAAGACAAGACAAGACAGGATGATAGGACAGAACAGGACAGGACAGGAAAAAAAGGGTACAGAATGGAACAGAACACAACAGAATAGAATACAGAATACAGAATAGCAGAGTTGGAAGAAACCTTAGAGGTCTTCCAGTCCAAGCCTCTACCCAAGCAGGAGACCATATACCATTCCAGACAAATGATTGTTTAATCTCTTCTTTAAAACCCCCAGAGATGGAGCACCCACAATTTATGAAGGAAAGCTTAATTGTTCTCACTGTCAGGAAATTTCTCCTTACTTCTAGTTTAGACCTCTCTTTGGTAAGTTTCCATCCTTTAGTTCTAGTCTTGCCCTCAGATACTTTGGAAAATAAATTGTCCCCCTCTTTGTCTCTCAAGGTTAAGTTGAAAAATAAAAGTTGTGGTGGAATTCCATTAGATCTCTTTTCTTAGCTTTCCATTGATCAGTAGTCCTCTATTATTCTTGGAGATTCTTTTTTTAATCTTTTAATTCCTATCATATAGTGCATTTATGGAAGTTTACTGGTTGCCATGGTATCATTTTTAGGAGCTTTTAGGATGTGGGAGGAAAATATGGGATCAGGAATGCATTTTCAATGGACTCACCAACAGCTATCATACAATGACCTTTCTATTACAACCTCTGTATAAGCACATATATTGGAAATCATATGCTAAAATTTTGTTTAAATGCTATGGAAAATATAATTGATATGTCATTCATGGAGGTGAAATCTGTCCTTTATAATATTTGAAAGACACTTGATTTTTTTCAACTGCTCCCATAACTTTCTCATCAAAGCTTATTTGTTGCTTGTCCTATTTTCCTTTCTTTATAATACTTCCCTTGCTCTTCCAGCATTCTGGATTACTTTAATCTGAAGTTCTTTCATCTTAAGTTTTCTAAAAGTCTTTCTTGTTCCAGAGAGATGGAACTAAAAGCAAAAATCCTAAGAATTTCTTTTCCACTTTGGGATAAGATGTACTAATATTCCCTGGTGGAAAATTTTCTATTGCCATTTCAATGTGTCCAGTGTATTTTAAGTACTGAATAGTACTGATTTTAATTTGAACTGAAACAGAACAAAACACAGGAAGAGATCATCTTACTATTAGCTTACTATTAGTTGATAATAAGGGGAATGCTTCATTCTATGCCCTTAATGAGCACTTGCCTTTTAGACCTAGTTCAAAATTTTCTGAAGTATTAGAACACTATTTAAATGATAGAATAATATATATATGCAACTGAGGATGAAATAACTGGCTTGAGATTTACTTCCACTGGAAGAAATAGTTGTTTTAAAATAAACAGATTTAATTACTGGGTTATCAAATGTTGATCATAACACTGTTAGATTTTACTAAGACTCTGAAAATTTAGCTGTTCTTCCAGGCTGCTGCTGATGTTGTTTTGTTTTGGGGGCATCATGAGTTATACTGTTAAAATGGTTTCAATCTTTGTATGTCACCCAGAGATATTTCTGTAAAAAGGGCAACTCTGTCAATCATTTAAATAAATAAATATCTTAAAGCATGTCATTTTTAAAAGTGTCTCTTTTGTATCTTTCTCTGTTGTGACATCTACCTTTTGGAATGGTATGTCCCCTATTCCAAAAGACATGAGGCAAAATTTTGTTTTATAATATTTTGTTTTGTTTCATGTGTTTTTCCTTGGCAAATACCACGTTTCTTTTTTATGATATTTTGGCTTTTTATTGTGCAGTGTCCAGAGTTGGTTAAAATCAGGTGTTTGCCAAATCCAAATAAATATATAGGAACGATGCCACATGTAAATTATTCACAGTATAAAAATATTTGGATCCAGAACTAACTAATAAAGATTTAATTCTGAAAATATGTTTTTGGATGTTTGGTAAAATAAAGTCATATAAAAGATAAACCTAATCTTAGCTTTAACCACAGTTTGTTAGTGGAGAATATTCTTCAATAGAGACTGGGAATGGAGGTAACAAAAACAGGCTTCAAGTTAAGGGATCTAGATTTTTTGTGTGTCTTTTTTCCCCCCATGGAACTCTTTTGATCACTAACAGTCTCAGGGGTGAAACAGTAGGTTATTAAATAAAACATTTTAGCTGTTAAGGCTAGCCAATGCTTTGGATCTAAAGAGAAAATGGATAGCACCTTTCTTGAAGATCCTTCAGCCAGATGCATCATATCCTGGGGTAAGTGAGTGCCCTCTTGAGCTTTATCATTGTAGCCTTCCACCATTACCTTCTGGACATGACCTGATAAGAAAGACAGGAACTATTATAAAATATGCCCAAAGGCTTCTGGGTGATGCTCTATGGCAATGCTACTAGATTTAGTAGCAGATAATAGGGCATTTGGAGTTGAGCAGCTGAAGACAGAAGTTGAAGTGTATACAAATAATGAGCATGTAGTCATTAAAATGTATCAGTAAAACTTATTCTGAAATGTGAAATAGAAGAACAAGTGAAACAATGTGTGATAATTTGGATGAGAATTTTAGAAATGTATTAATGGAACAGTGAGAAAATATTATGATTAAAAGGACTGGAATTTACATTATAACTTAAGAGAAGTTTTAAGAAGATTATGTACTGTTTATATAAGATTCCAGGAAAAAATATGTAGAAAATATACATATAGTTCAAATCTATGATGCAAATCTGCACAATGCAAAAGGTCATTTTATCATGCCTGATGGACTTGTAAAAAAAATGGTTCAGATATATACAATGAATTTTGCACAATTTATATTTAAAAATAAATATTCAGCTGAAAATATAACCTGTTTTTTTTAGCTGGGATTAATGGACAGACAATAAGAAAAAAAGCCATGGAAGATTATTCCTATATGTAATTACTGCTGTGAGACTGTTGTGTGCACAAAAATGCAAAGATTTTGAAATATCCGCAAAGGATGATGAAGATAAGAATTAGAAGAGATGGCAAACTTAACCAGTTTGCTTAGAAAAATGCTCAGTTATTACATTTATTAGTGACTGGAAACTGCTTGTGGACATTTTGCTGAAAAAGGGAAAAAAATGAATTTGTAGCCTTTGGATGAAAGCAACATACTTAACTTCCATTTACTCATGCTGCTTTAAAAGACAGATAACTTATTTTTAACTAATTTATTTTTGCCCCTTACTTTATTCTCACAGCTTTTTGCTTTGTCGAGTCTTACTTGGAATCCATGACAAATGTTTGGTGCAATACCTAAATGGATTAAGATACACTTGACATTGTGGGATGGGAAAATAATTAGATCACTATGTTTCTCTTTCCTCCAATCCAGGTATACTATATCCTCTCTACCAGTTCACATCTGAACTATGCTTTTAATACACTTCAAAAGACAAAAGGACGTGGAAAACTAAATGTAGGAAAACAGGAGTCACATAACTCTTCATTTAGCAAAGACTCTGCAAACTTTTACTAAAGTATTTTTGTCGGAGAGATTATAGCATTTTAAGCCCTTTTGTATGTTTTGATTCTGCAAAAACTACTAAAATGGCATGAAATAAAGCTAGTAGATGGGACAAGTTGAACAGTAGATTATGTGCATATGTGGTGGATTTTATTTTTAATACTTGAGAGAGAGAACACAGATTATGTTTGTATGTATATATACATGTATACACACAAAAAAATGCATACAGTATATATACTTTTCAAATAAAATAAAATAAAATAAAAAGGTAGAAAAAGCCTGTATTTAAAGATCAAAAAGAAAAAAAAGTGTACTTACAGTTATAGCATAAATGTTTGGGGTGCATCTCCAGAACTGTAGAATGATTTAAAGCCCAAATTATTTTGTGCAGTACATTGTGTCTCTGTGTGAAGGAACACACATAATATATGTTTTACAACAAAAGGAGAAAAAGTTCCCATGGGCGGGATTAATATGTTTCATTCTCAGTTAAGGTCTGAATGCTCTATTTCAATATGAGAAAATCTTATTCTTCACTGGCCAAATTG